CTGCCTTCATAGTGCAGGCTGGCCTTGAACTCACCATGTAGCCCTGGCTAACCTTGAACTTGAGCCTCCGCCTCCTGAGCGCTAGAACTACGGGTGTGCGCCACCACACCTGGTACGGCTCTTCTTAAGACAGGCTGTGCCACTTCTTCCTTCTGTCCCCTGCTGGGGACCACAGCACGCTGTAGTCAGAAGCCTCAGAAGCCACAGCCCAGCCTTCTGCACACCCTGGAGACATGCTGACCATGCTTGGCAAGGCTGCTGCTTCTTACAAGGAATCCTTGACAAACAAGGAACTCTGTCCTGCAGAGAGGGGCCTAGGGGCACCGGTGACAGAGGAGAGGCACCCAGTGCCAGCTCCATCTCCAGCAGGGACTCCACTGAGGAGCAGGAAGAGGAGAGAGGAAAGGAGATGAGGGCAGGAGGGGGCTCCAGTCAGGACTGTGCAAAGCTCTGGGCACGAGAGGCATCAGGGCACATCCAGGTGTAGTGGCACATGGCTTAAGCCCAACACTCAGGAGGCTGAGGCAGGAGGATTGCCATGAGTTCAAGGCCAGTCTGGGCTACATATAGCAGGACCCTGTTTCAAAACATGAAAAAAGTAAAATATAAAAAAGAAAGAAAGGAAGGAAGGAAAGAACGAAAGGAAAGAAAAGAAAGAAAAGGAAGAAAGGAAGGTTCATTTCCCCTACGCTTTGAACTACAGATTCTGTCAACTCCCTTCTGCTCTAAAGTAGGCGAATGAGGTCCAGAGACAGGAGTAATTTGCAAGTTGGTGGCAGGGCAAGTCTGAGAAGCCCCCGGTCAAGTCCTGCCCAAATCAGGACGGAGCATAGCACCTGTCACTCGACAGAGGTCAGGGTGTCTCTTTCCCAGGAAAATGCAGCTCTCCACAGAGCCTCTCTCCCACTGGAGCCCAGGCTCTGGAGCTCTGGGAGAGATGTCCCCAAGCTTGTGGGGTGGCAGGCGGTGCTGGAGGATGGCTGGGCATGAGGAAGGCTGGGGAGAGCCAGGAGGAGGCAGGATTCCTGGATGAGAGGAGAGGATAATCCCCTGACAGGTAGAGATGGAGCCAAATCACCATGAAGCTCCCAGCCGGTGCCTGAGCACTTACATTTTTCTCCATTTTTCACTTAGCCTTGGGAGATTAGCAACAATCCTGCCACCATCTGGGCCTGACCAGAAGTGGATTGCCTGCCTTCCTGCTGGGACGACTGGCAAAGTCAAAAGTGCTGCACCTTCCACTGGGTGCTGTGCAAAGCCATTCTGGCCCAGGCTGTGCCCACAGGAGCTGGAGTGTGGGCAGCTGCAAGCCTGGAGCCCCCTGGATGAGCAAAACCCACGAGTCAGGTCGGGGACCTGGGAGTGTGGCGTATCAGAAAGCGGGGCTTGTGGGGGTGCAGAGGCCACTACAGCATAGGCGGGCAGCACCACCAGGTCGGAAACAGTTCTGTCTACTCCAAGAGCCATGACGACAAACTCATGGGACACAGGAGAAGGAACGGGGATGCTGAGGAGGGGCCGGGTGAGCACATGTGGGGCACAGAGGGCATGGGGGATGGGCCGGGGTCCTGGGGTAGCAGCTGGCACCTGATTGGTGTGGGGACTCCTGTTTGTCTGTTCTTATGGCACCGAGGGTGACCCCAGCACCTTGACACTGAGCTACTTGCTGAGTCCGTATGTAGCCCAGGCTGGTGGCATTAAGGCAGCGCAGATGGGGAAAGACCAAGCGTGAGACAGACTTAGAATACTAAATTAACACGTGTGCAAAACAGGTCTGGTGGCACACGCCTGTCATCCCAGCTACTCAGTAGCGCTACTAAGGCAGGAGGATCTCAAGTTCCAGGCCACACTGGGCAATTTAATGAGACCCATCTCAAAATTAAACAGACAAACAAAGAAAACTCCCAAAACACAAAAGGGCTAGGATGCAGCTCAGGGGCAGAGTGCTTGCCTAGCAAGCAGGAGGCCCCAGATTCCATCCAAGTACTGTAAAGAAAAAGAACCAAAAAAAGCTATACAGCAAGAATAGAAAAGGAAACACAGAAGGCCACTGGGAGAAGGGGAGCAGAAATGGTGATAGAAAGGAATAAACAGAAACGAGAGAGGCCTCGGGGGAGCAGCCCAGGGTCTTCCTTTGCTCTCCAGGGGCAGAGAGGGCTCATGGTCATGCAGGCACCTGAGCAGCTTGGTCAGGAAGGGGGCTGGAGAGGAGGGCGCTGGCTTTGGAGGTGTGCAAAGCCCCCAGCTCTCAGGATGTGTGGCCTTCAGCCAGGGGGACCCTCATTCCATACATGTGTGGTGCAGGTGGGGACCTCTGGGAGCTGAGGGCCCCCAGCACAGCAGCCTTTGGGGCTCTGGCTCAAGAGTTTCTGCCTCATGCACGCTCCCCAGGGAGCAGCTCCCGCAGGGCAGTGCCACCCGGACTTCCCAGCAGGGGCTTGACCCTCAGTACCCTACGTGATGTCAGGGTGAGTGCTTCTACAGAGCCACTGCCAGAAGGCCGCCTGGGAGATGGGCACTTGCGCCAAAGCTAAGAAGGGCTTCTGCCTCCACAGGTCAGAAACTGGGATGGTAGCTGATTATCTCCTGACTCCGACCAGCTCCCCACGCTGATCTGTACCCCTCATTCTGCCTGCCCAGAAAGGCAAGCGACGGGGGTCCTGGGAGATTTTGGGTGAATTTCAGGGTGAGTGGCCAGGTGAGGGCTGGAGGGTTTGCTTGCAGACTCATAGCTACAGCTTTTGGGAACCTGGGCAGGTGTGAATCCAGTGGAGGATGGGTGTGAACAAAACACCAGTGCTCCACAGAACTGGGGCAGATATTCTGCTCAGAGTTCCATTCAATCAGCCACCCCTTGTTTTCAGAGATGGAGAAAAACCGGGGCCCAGGGACGAAAGGGGTTTAATCCAAGGACCCTGAACAGTGCACGTGTGAGCTGAGGGCCCCCGCCTTCCTGGACAGCTGGGCCTCTGCAGAGGGCTGTGTCTAAGAAAGAAGTGGGTGACAGTTCAGGGAGATTTCCCAACACACTGAATGAGTCCCGAGTGGCCGTTGCTTATTTCTAGAGTATTTTAGGTGAGAATGATCAGAATCTTCTCGTGTCTAGTGTTATCTGACAACATGCCAAGTCCTTATACATCTCTCTTCCTCCTATAGCCCACCTGGGGGGCAGTCCTCATTACCCGAGCATAGAAATGGGTGAGAGGTGCCCTTGCTTGCCCAGCATGGCCCAAGTTGTGAAGACAGAGGGTGGGTGCAGGAGGGAGGCTCTTGGAGCCACAGCGCCTGCCTGCGTGGAGATTCCTGCCCCGCTTGGATCTGGCCCCACCCTCAGGCCGCCCATGTGAAGGTCAGCCCGGAAGTGCTCAGATGGGCAGACTTGGCCTTTGGCCCAAGCAGGGCCAGGCTACAGCTGCCCCTGGCCCCAACGTGCGCCAGGCTGGGAGCCCACATGATATTCTGTGGCTCAGAGAAATACCACGGATGGGGACGCTGCAGTCATCTGGCCTGCCCCACCTACAGAGCTAATCTCATCAACAAAACAGCCAGCTTTCCCAAGGCCGTTGTCACTTGCGAGGTGTACACACAAAAGACGACAATGCCTGAGAAAACGAAGTGGGGCCTGGAGCTGCTATTACAGATTACTTGTATTTTGAGAAGTAGGGCGTTCACTAGGGAAATTGAGGACTCGTGGCCTGGCTGGCCTGGTTATGTTTTCTTATGGGTGATGCCAACTGCAGCTGTAAAATGGCCAGTGAGCTCCCTACTGGCTCTTGGGAAGAAGGCATGAGGCTAAAAATGTATAGCATTTATTACAAAATCAATTACTATTCATGATGGGAAATACAGAAATATGGAGACTTCCATTCCCTCACGTGTACAGGTGCAAACTCGAGAGAGAAAGCTTTCATGAAGCTCACTGAGCACAGCATAATTAATTCTGTTTGCATCGCACTGATTACAACAGGACACCAATCAGGAGGCAGCGTGGCAGGATTTGTCAAAGAGCTGCTGGTGGTAAAGCACAGGCACCTGTGGCTGCGCTGATCTGGCTGGATTTCTGCTTGCTGGATTCGGCCGGCAAGGTCAGGTGGCTGGGGACAGAGGGGAGCTCTAGACTGCAGACCTCCGAGGAAGTTGGGCTTTTGCCCATTTTGGCCAGTTTGTTCTCGCAATAAGAAAAGACACTCAGAGCTTCAGAAGCACTTTAATTATTGAAATGACTACAGAAAAATGCCTTTGTATTGTGAATCTAAAATTCCCCAGCCTTTCATCCAATTGTTTCCCCACTGAAATAATTGGTTTTTAATGTGCTCTTTGAAACACATGGCTTTTTAGGAGTTGAACTAATGACAATGGCAAAGTAGGCCTGCTCGCCTCTGCCTTTTCCTGTATCACACGCATGCAGCGAATGCTTATCTACTTCCCTACTCAGCGTGCTAAGTTCTTTCTGGTTTTTCCTGTTATGAAAAACGCTATGATAAACCACACAGTGACACTGTGCACATTCGCTGTGCTCTCTGAGATCCACTGTGGAACTGGAACGATGCTCCTGCGGTATTCGGGAGCATTGTCACAGAGGAGTCCCCCAGTACAGCCCGGCACCCCACAGCTGGTGGCCGTAAACTGCAAACCAAGTGACTGAGAGACCAGTCCCATTCGACCCTGTCACCGGTGAGGGGACAAGTGGGTCCCACAGCCAGGACACAGGGTAACCAGTGGAGCAGAAGGACTGGCTAAGGAGCACGAAGACAGAGGGGGCTGTTTTGCCCCAGGAGCGCAGGGACCTGCTACAACGAAATGCTTCTCTACCCCGACTCAGATACCTACCCTGCCTGGGTCCTCAGCCCTGGCCTCCCTCTCGTCCTCAGAGCCCTGCTGTGCGTGCGTTTGGCTTCATCAGGGGAAGGGAGCTTGGCTGGTACTCACCGCACGCACCACTCAGAACCTCCAGCCGCTGGAAACCAACCGGAGAACAAACACCAGGAAGCATTGTGTTCTCAAAGATTCTTTATTAGCTCTCTCACGCATAGCGAGAATAAGTTCAAAAGCCAATAGAGCTGAAACAGAATGAGATGAATGGTCCCACAGCATCTCTGCCGTATTCCGCTGGACTACGTGTGAGATGGACCCTGACAGGCTTTGGGTTCGAAGCTCACTTACGGGGGAATCTGTCACAAGAAGAACTAAAGAAACCACACCCTAATTTCTGTGCGGTAGAGGGAGGAAAGGACAAAGATGACCTTTTTTAAACAGACTAGAATGATGCCAAGCCTGGTGCTCGTGAGTGGCTGGGCTCCTCTTTGGAATCGGTCTTCCTGGTCCAGGTGAAGTCAGCTGCATGTCGGAGTGGCCAACCGCTGCTCTTGGCAGTGGACCTGACTTCTTAGTTCGCTCAGGTCACCTGGGCTGGTTGCATAATGGACGAGGGTCGCTGGAATTCTGGGCTGTAACTGGGAGGTACGAGCTGTGAATGCTACAAATAAGCAGACTGCTACTGGGCCCCAGCTGGCCCTGAAGGTTTCCCCTAAAAAGGTGGATCCTGAAGCCTGCACTGAGCAGCTGACATCTTGACAGGAAGCCCCCGGCCCCATGGGTGAGGATGAGGAAGGTCGGGGCTCCTCAGGATGCTAAGATCCGGCTGCCTGCAGGAAGCCTGGCTCGCTCACTCCAAGCTCACCCAGAGTTATAGCAGTGCTGTTTGTTCTTTCTCATAAAACACAAGCTTAGCGATTTGAGTCAAACTGATATTTGGTCAAGGAAAGGCCAGTTCTTAAAAGGATTTTGATTCCTTGGGATCAAGGGTATCATTTTTGTTTCTTTCTTCTCTTCCAATGCCTTTTCCCAGCCAACCGGTGATGCTGGCCCCCTGAGTTTAGGTCCTGAGCACAGCTACTCAAAATTTAGTCCTTGTGGGATGTCCTTAGGACAGGGACCGGCTGGCTGAGGGGTCGGCAGCACCTGGATCCCACAGGACATCCCTGCAGAGTCTCTGGAGGAGCTGGTGCAGCCCGGAGCCTGTCCCAGGGGCCCCCTAGTCATCGGGGATTGGGGTGTTGCAGTTCCCGTGGTAGATCTTGACGTGGCCCTCACAGCGGAAGTAGGCCTCGAAGACATCACTGTAGCCATGGTCCCGCCACCAGGTGCACAGCTGCCGGTTCCAGGTGCAGTCCAACACGTGGAAGAGCTCGGGGTGCTCCATGCCGATCATGGTGAAGAAGTCCTGGTCCCCGAGGTGGCCACGGAAGTGGTACTTACCAGCCAGCTGCTGCACCTGCGCAGGCTCTAGCAGGCGGTTGTAGAGCGGGGACTGGCGCATGGCCTCCAAGTTCAGCAGCATCACCCCACTGTTAAAGCCTGGGAGCCCCTCGGGGGGAGGCCCCCCAACCTTGGACTTGGGGTTCTCTTGGCGGAACTGCCAGAAAGTGTGCCTGCAGGGAAAGAGGACAGAGTGAGCCCTGTGTGGGGTGCACTGTTCTCTGGCCCTGCTTCCTGGACCTTACGCCCCCCCACCATCCTCACCTCCAAGTTCCAGCTTCAGGAACAGGTGCGCTGGGGCTCAGACTCAGCACCTTGCCCCTGCCCCAGTTGGTAGCAGAGCCACAGTCTGAATCCACATCCCGGCTCCAAGCCCCGGGTGCCTCCACCATCTTCTGCCTCCCCAGAATGACGGCATTGATGACACTGTGGTCAACATCCTCATCCCAGCTAAGGTTTGTACAGACACAGGATGCGCCAGACCATACTGGACCTGCTTATCAGCGCCTCGTTGAGCAACCTTATGAGATGTGTTCCCTAATCGATGACACATCTTCACAGCTAAGATGACAGAGAGGTTGTGCAACTTGCCCAGTGTGACACAGCTCAAGAACAGGACAAGCAGAGACTACTTCTCTGGCCCCAAAGCCCACATTGTTCCGACAGCAACAACACAGGCAGAATGTCCTCCCCTTATCTCTGCCTGCGACCCTGAGGAGCAGTGGGAGGGAGAAGAGGGGAAGAGGAGCCAACTGGTGAGCTGCTAGAGACGTGGGAAGCCAGACTCGGCCGAAACAAGTCAGCTTCTGTTTGCAGGGAGCCTCATCGCAGGCCTCCAAGCCTACGGTCTCTGAGGGTCTGGACGGGGGTGAGGGCGGGAAGCAGCTGAGGAGAGCTACATATGAGTGCGGTTAATCAGAACGGGAAATTGCCTCTCCGTGAGGGAGCTGGCGAATGAGCTGGGCTGCTCGTCCTCCAGCCTCTTCTGTATGGGCATCTTGTGTGCTGTGTGTGGGGTAGGCAGGAGCGGGTGTGGGGAGCCCCAGCCCACAGCCACAGAGCAGATCCAGTTGGTGCTGGTGATACGGAGGGAGGAAGCAGAGGGCCCGCGTCGGGAAGGGGCAGGGGGGCCTGGAAATCTAGGGAGGGGACACAGCTTGGCCACCCTAACTGCTTCCCCAGCCCGTCTCAGGACAGGGCCTGTGCGGTGGGTGACACGAACCGACTGTAAGGCGCAGTGGAAATGAACTGAGTGCCACTCGGGAGCCAGTCAATCCCTTCTCGGGTTCCACCGCAGTCCGCAGGCCGGAACGCACAGCCTTCCTACTGTCTCACGTGCCACAAAGGAAGCCGAGACTTTGATCCTGGGAGGGAGGAGCGTGCCTAGGGACACTCTCACCGGTGGAACACACGGGCCATTGTTTGAGTTTGCCCATGAGGGGCCAAGAGCCCCGGCGCCCGCTTACTGATAGCAACCTTGGCAGAGAGAAGCTTCCAGAGCAACCCGAGATGCGGTGGTCCTGGCCACAGAGCCTGCCAGGAGGGGGTCTGCTCATTTTACCCCATTTCCTCCAAGTGGTTAATTTCAGGACACAGTTACAAACCAGCTATGAGTCTCCCGGCAGGCCCGGGCCCCCGCTGTGCAACAGAGGAGGACCCCTCTCACAGCGGGGGGCAGCCCTCCTGGGTGCTTCCTCGGCCCCACACAGGGCCTCAGGAAAGACAAGGTGACCGACGAGGATGGATGGACAGTGGGCACGAGTGAGGCCGCCCAGCCTCCCATGTCGGGTGGAACCAGAGAGCAGGATGGGTGAGGACACTGCCACTGCAAAGCCAAGGCGGAGCCCTCCATCAGCCCAGGTCCCGCCACCAACCTCCCCAAGGCCTGGAGCGCACCAGGTCTCCCCTGTCTGTGACAAGAATGACCAAAGAGAGAAGGACAGATCATCCTCCGTGTGGTGGCCATGACCCAAGGGGCTCTTTGGGAACATTATGCCCAGCACCGCCACTAAATGAGGACACAGAGGCAGTCGTAACAGAGCCAGCACATAATGTCTTGTCAGAGGAAGGAGGGACCGGAAATTGGAAACCAAGCTCCCAGCACATGCACTAATGTAGAAATAGCACCAAGAGCCACCGAGGATTCTCTGAACACAAAATGATTTCCAGGGTGCCCATGATCAAAGCGTTCCTACTGCACCCAAAAGTCCAGAAAAACAGTCCTCCCCAGGGTACGGTGGGTTCTCTGGCCTGCATGCCAGAGGTTCTTGTTGAGGAGCCACAGTCGTCCTGGGCTATCGAGGCTGACACAGGGCTGCGGAGGCATCAGAGCTCTCACAGGGCACCCATCTCAGGCCTCCCGAGGCAGCACTGCCACACACCCCACACCATGGTGCCCCCCGGGTGGCAAAGACCTGATGCTCTTTGCTGGGACTCCAGTGCCTGCATTTAACGGGAAGAGACAGAGGTCCTCTGTCAAGAGTCTGGTTTCCAACACCCTTTTATCTCCTACTCCCTTGGATCCCACGGGCTAGAGTTCCCAGTAACAGCACTTGATTCCAACCTCATTTCTCAGTCAGGCTGGCGTAGTCTGAGGCCAGGAGTACCAGGACCGGGTCACCAAGGGAAGCAGCTGCTGCTGCCACTTTCCTGAATGAATGCAGGTGTCTGCTTGTGAGTCCTGAAGCTTCCAGAAGTTTCTGATTAACCCTCCACACCCACATCAGACCACTGCACCCCATTTTGGGGCAGTGCAGTCTTGCTCCCAGTTCCCTGTGGTCACCAGGACCACATGACAGGAGACAAGACTTCTTCCCACTTTGGAAATCGTTTCCACTGGGAAACAAGGCCCATGCAGATGGCATTGTGGATGGGGATCCCTTCAGACGTCAGTGAGGTCACTGGAAAACACCATCTAGAACCATCAGCCCTCCTGTTGTGGGCGGTGCAGTTTCTACATGTTCACGTGGTTTATCTTAACCATCGTCCAAAAAGACCACCGACCCTGCGGACTCATTTCCACGAAGAAAACTCATCTGAATGGAAAGGTGTGCTTGAGGTAACTGTGAAAAGCCTTGATGACCGTGGCCTGGGTCACTCCGGGGACGGCTCTCACCTAGAAACCCTGCCCAGAGAAGCTGAGGCTCACATTCCCTCGAAAAGACACACACTGCCAAGAGCAGCCCTTCCTCTTCCTCCCGGGACCCTGACTAGGGCTCCTCTGCTGCCGACGTTCCACGACTTTTTCCCTTGGCCTGTGCTTTCCTGGCTGGTGAGGCTCAGAGCTCTCCACTGTCACTCCTGAGGGGAGAAGCAAGGATGGGAATACACTGACCTCAGGCAGTGTACACGAGGCCCCACAGGAGATCCTAGAAGGTCTGAAAGCCTGTGCTGGCTGAGCTCAGCACAGCCTATCAGGCAGAGAGGCCGCTGTGAGGCCTGAGGGGCATACAGACAGCATGGTGAGTCCCACCTGTCTCACAGAGGGTTATCAGCTTAGCAGTGCTCACCAGCTCAGAGTGACGTCTCCATGAGAGTCGCTAGGTCTCCTCCCAGAGGGAGCACGTGGAGGCTACAGGGGCCCTGCTTGATTACTGCTGTCCTTGTGCCACCACGACGGAGACCAGGAAAGAGAGACAGGGCAGGACAGCCACGTACCCACACGGGGCCTGGAGCAGACCACGGCCGGCCAGGGATTGGAACTGCATAGTGGGTGTTCAGGTTTGTATATGGGACTCCGCTCTGCTGAAGCCTTCAGCTGGCTGCTACTGAGGGCCACCTCTGCCCCTAGCCGCATAGCATGCTTCCTGCTTGACCGAGACACCCCACACTCCCACGGATGCCGCGCTGGGCCTATTGTAAGTACTGTGATTGGGGACTCAACAGACACCTCTACTCACAGATCCAGGGGGAGGCCCGAGGTGGAGGGGTCGGCAGGGTGGCTCCCCAGTGGCTGTGGGGAAGAATCTGCTCCCTGCCCCCGCCCTGGCTCCTGGTTCACGGGCATCTCTGGCCCTTTGCAGTAGCAGCACCTCAGCCTCTGCCTCCGCATCACAGGCGTCCCCTTGGGCACAGCTGTCCGCCTACAGCTCCCGTAAAGACTCTAGTTGCCTTGGGTTGGGACCACCCTGCTCCAGAATAACCCACAGACCCTGTTCTAAAGAAGGTTACATTCTGCAGTACCAAGGTGAGTACTGCAGCCTGCGGAGGCCAGGGGGACACGATCCAGCCCATGGAGCTGGAGAAGGCAAAAGCAGAGGGATTTGGAAATGGGGGTACACGGGCCAGCCAGCAGGGACAGGGACAGGTCCTCGTCCTCACAGAGATGGGCAGGAGCAATGACGGTCACCCATGCCAGGCCAGAAGGATGAGGAGGTGGGGAGAACACCACTCCCCAGAGGACCTGGCGGCCACAGGGGACAGGGATCCCAGGTCAACCACCGCAGTGGAGGTGTAGGTGGGCAAGTAGCCTCGCAGTCTGCACCCTGCACCCGAGGCCGCTGAGTGGCCTCTTGGGGGTTGGCTCGTTGGGGATGAGGATGGGGAAGGGCTGACGTCCCAGGGCTGCGGTAGGACTCCAGCAACAGAGGCGTGCTCTGCCCGTGCCAGTGCCACGCCCGTGAGGCCCAGCCCTGACCGGTACGGAGGGTGCCCAGCCTCCTGAGCGCTGAAGCTGCTCGTGCCCTGCCCGCCTAGCTCCTCTCAGGGTGTGGTGGCGCCTCGGCGACTGGGGCCTCGTCCACTGGCCAGGGCCTGGAGGTTTCTGTTGCAACACAGCTTCCTGCTCGGGGAGTCTGGTTCTCAGAGCTGCATGGCTGCGACCAAGCCTGCTCGTGGGACTCTGGAGACTAGGGGGGCAAACGGGGCTCATGGCAGCGGTGCCCGGCCACAAGGGGCCCCACTGGGCCGAGGTCTTCTTCCCTTCCAGAGGCCTCTCGAGGGCTCCAAAGCTTTGTGTCTCCTCAGGCACCGGGGCAGGCCAGTCCCCTGACCCGCTGCTGCCCAGGCCCAGCCTCCCTGGGTGTCGTTCTGTGTTCCTTCCACACCGAAATGGGTAGGGACCTGGCAGCTCACTGCCACTTGATCCCATGAGCAGCTGCAGAGCTGCAGGTGCCTGAGCCTGGCTGCGCTCTGGGAGGCCGCATGGGTGGGCTTGGGGAGGGACAGAGCCAGC